ACTACGATTAGTAAAAATTTAGCAGAAGCGTCAGAAAGAAACATATGTCTATCCTTGGCTCTCTCATGTCATCTATCCTTGTTTTGGTTTGATTCGGTCCCGAGAGATGGCGCCACCTACCCGATAGCGTAGCGGTTGAGTAGCAGCTAAGCGGACTTTTGCCAGCTGTTCAGCATCCTCTTAATCAGTTTGCGCAATTGTCGTGAAATTCCTTTCACTTGTCGCGCGGTAATTTTAACTTCGCTGTCGCGCACGCCCCCCCCCCGCGGAATCTACCTTCGCTCCCGCCATCTTGTCGCGACCACCGCAGGTTTTTTGTTTTCTTTCTTCTTTATCGGTAGCGATAGATTTTACAGAATCTATTTCCACACACAGCGTGCAGTTGTTTTTACGCGATAAGAAAAATAATGCAATAACCAATCGACATCTCGTTTTTGCGGAAAAATAGCGAAATGATTGATTGTCGCATCTCTTCGCGCGCTACGTATATTGACGCGTTCTATATATGCGGGAGCTGTATAATAATGATGTTATAAAAGCCAACGAGAGAAGAGACTGACATATATTATAAGATAGAACATATCTTCAATACATATCGTATATGCGTTATCAAAAAATATTTATTATTAAAAAGTTATTACGCTTCAATGTTAATATGAGCCATTAAAAGATCATTCCCAGATTTTAAAAAGTTATTTTTAATTCTATTCCGCTTCTATTTTAACTTATTTTTAATGAACAAATCAGTGCTTTTTATCGATGATGAATGGTTTTACTTGCTCCTGCATATAATTTTATTGCTAAGTACATATGCGTAATTACACACGCGTGTGTTCGAGACTAGAAAAATTATAATATACTAGAATATTACATATCTATAATGCGTCGTTCAAATGTATAATTCTTTCACAATTTTACACTTATCTTTTAAATTAATTGGTAGGTAATCTTGTTTTATCGGTTATCTTGTTTTTTTTTTCTTTTCCTTTTTTTTATTTTTTATTTTATTTACACTTGGATCGAGACACCTGCGACTTCTGATAAATATCATACCTTGATACATGACGCATCTAATGTATGTGTTAACTTCACCATGGATTATCTGTTTATCGGTAGATTTTTCAATCAAATTCCTATTGTATTTCAAAACAGACAAATATCTTATATTTTCTTTTCATGAAATTTATATATTTTTATGTCAAACATATTTGTTTTATGGAGTAATATAAGAGAAATTCGCAAAAAATAGGCGCAATTTGAGGAAGAGCGGTTTCCCTTTTAACTTCGTCAGTAGCGCTTTATCGAATTAATTATATAGCAACCGCTTATATCCAAAACGTTTCGTCGCATCGATAATGAATAATAACGCAGTTAGTATAATTAAAGATACTTACTAATAAAAAAATAATTACTTAAGATAATTACTTAATGATTAATTAAGTTAATGAGTTTCTATTATAGAAAGAAAAATAAACGCGATACAACGTAGCAATATAAGAATATAAAAGCAATAAAATTACTAGTTTTATAAATATAACAATAATAAAAATTAACAATTATAATAATTAATGTTTTAATAAGTTGCTATTATAGAAATAAAAATAAATGATATGACGAAGTAATACAAGAAGAATATATAAAACTAATAACAAATTACTAGTTATAAATACAATAATAAGATAATAAAAATTAACAATTAGTATTACCTTACGTTAAAATAAAACTCAAAAATCGAAAGACGAATAAAAACTGAATCACTCTTATCTCTCCGTTCTCTATCTTTTATTTGATTTCCTCTTCTCTTTTTTTTTTTTTTAAAGTAAATTACGTGATGAAGATCAATAATTATTTTCTTTAATTGAGCAAGATTGTTGTAATCGTTCGATAAATATAAATACGCAACAAGTCGCCGTTGAATGATAAAAATCTTCACAAAAAAATTGCAATGTCATTGATCACGCAAGTGTTCAACTCTCAAGCGCATCAAAGGAATTTGTTTTCTTTCATCTCTTAGGCTTTCTTATCGATTTTAGGACCAAGTGTTCGATTAGATATTATCGTGTGAATAAATAGCCGGTTCCAAACGCTCGACAATCATTTTACTTGCTGTCGTTTCCCTTGTCGCGTAAAAGAAACATTATCATGAAAACTTCGGCGTGCGGTAATTATACTGTCTCATGCTAATCTGCTTTTTTTTTTTTTTTTTGTCAAACCACGCGTTTTAGGAATCTTGTATACAACAGCTCGTACATATGTTTTTCTTATGTCGCAGTATACATCATCGTCGCGTTTTGCGTCGCGTTGTCTCTGCAGGCGACACCGCACAACCCGTGCGACAAAGGTCCTTTGCCCGTCGAATTGAGGGTGGACGGTTGCAACAGTTTACCGTGCAATTTGTACAGAGGAACTAACTTGACGGCGCAATGGGATTTTGTTGCTGGTAAGTGAAAAATATTTCTCACACATAGCTCTCCATCAGCGTAATGGGAATTTCAGTCCCCAGAGAAAATTTCTCCGAACGAATTTTTATTTTTATCTTGCAAGAAAGTTTCAATATTTCGCTTAAGCTGTTGCTTCTGCATTAAAGTAGAGATCTTGTAAAGTATCTCGGAAGTTTCTAAGATTTTTTTTTTAAAGCCTACAACAATAAGAAAATAGATTCGAGACCGGAGTTATGCAGACGGCGTTAGTAAAGAAAACCACATTGCAGATAGAGGAATAAATTGTATAATAACTTAATTGGCGCACACATATGAAAATTTATTTATAATCGCTAATATCAAAATTTGTTTACTAAATTTAATCGATTGTTGTTTGTGATCGTATTTTACTTCGAATTGTATTATTTCTTAAATTTCTTTTATGTAGATTGTCGAAGTTATTGATTATTGTTTTTCTTGTTTTTTTACCGACGCGCGTAACGATTACTATTGCTGACTCTAGTTCAAAATAGAATTTATTGCCGATGAAGATATTACAATAAACGATCAAAACGTTCATTCACCAATTAAATTGTGAATTATTTAAAATTTGAAAAAATACGACAGCCACTACTCGCTGAACTGACGACTTTTTGATCTTGTTTATATTTCTTAATATGTATTAAGATTGTATTATTTACTTTATCGCAGACAGCGACTCAACGAAGTTGACAACCCGCGTGAAAGTTACGATTTTTGGAATTACGGTCGAATATCCGTATCCCCAGCCGGACGCGTGCAAATCCTTGTCCAGCGGTAAATGCCCGTTGAAGAAAGGCGACAAGGCGACGTACACTCTGGTCATGCCGATAGAGAAGTCATATCCACATCTAACCCTGAACATCGAATTCCGTTTAGATAACGAGCAAAGTGAACCACAGGTGTGCTTCAAGTTGGACGGCAAGGTGACCACCAAATATTCTCCCTTACCAACGTTTTTGTGATTTTAATACGTGTATATCTGCATAACGAGTGATTCGAGCTACTATAAAATTCTTTCACAACTGTTGCTGTCGAATTCTTTAATATTCTAGAATTTTATCTTACATATTTCTAACAAACTATCGAATGTAAATCGAGAAGTAAATCTGTGACATGTACGTATACGCAAATAAACATATTGTATTTCGTTAAAAAATAAACAAAAATAAAATTTATATAAAATATCTAATTTTCTTCGAATTTGTTATCAATCAGTTTTACATGAGATATCATAATCCTTCTAATCCACCAAAAACAAAATAATTCGATCAAACAACTGCGCTTTTATGATCCGTGTTTTTGAAACACACGATTATGAAAAATCTTGAAATGATATAAGCAGTTAACAAAGTTTCGAGTAATATAAATAATAATGCGTATAAATGCGCGCGTGCGTAGTGAATAGTCGAGTTTTTTATCACATCCTCTAATTACTCAAAAAAAAAAAATCTAAACTGGACAAACAATTGATTTGGGTAAACAATTGAAGAATACAATTTCTTTACACAAGATATATATATATATATATATACATGTATTTACACGGACACGTGTGTGTGTTTGACAATCACAATCACAATTTAAAGTACTGTGACCTAGAATAGTTTTTCTGGAAGAGAATGTATTGACACATTTTTTATATCAGCAAATAGTTATAAACTAAAAGTTTATAAACTGAAACCTAAAAAACTGTAATTGGAAATGTGTTAAAACAGTCTGCTAGAAACTTAAGAATCACGCATACAACTATGTAAGCGGTCTTTTATAAGCCAATAATTTCTCGTGATCATATATGGTGTGAATTTTATCGTACATATATTTGAAAAAATATAAAAGATTATCGTATTGCCCGCTGTATCTGAGATCCACTTCTGTACACTTCTCTGATTCCGTATTATTTACAAACACGCCGTTTTGATTTGAATTCACAGAATTATCTAAATCGGCATATCCTTCTATCGCCCCGTAAGCACACGTGTGCAATTCCACTAGAAACTGATGAATCGCTTCGATCGTCGACAAGTACCATCTTGGACTGCGTTTCTGATGTCGCCAGAATTGAGAAATTCTAGATTTTAAAATGACACAACGCAGTTCTGCAAAAAAAAAAGAAAAAAAAAACAACGGTAAGTTTTGTGCGCATTTAGATACACAAAATACTCAACGATCTTATCGCAAGAACGCAATTAGATTTTCTTCATGTACCTCTCAACCTTTGGTCTTTGTAAATAGCTTTGGTCTGTTGCCACGTACTGTCGATAAAAATAGCTCTTTTTATGGGAAATGCCGTGGTTTTCGAAAGTGTGCCGTTTCTTCTATCCTTCGAAAAAAGATCCTCCACGCTTATAGCGTCCACATTGCTAGGGAAGATTAAAACAGTCTGAGGAACAACATTCCTTAAATTAACAAGCAGTCATTGTATTTCAAGATTGAAAAGAGATTTGTTTTTTTGTTTTTTTTTTTTTACTCTCGTACTTCCTCCTTGTTGAACGTCTCCGGAAAGTTTGGATATCTGTAAATTCTGACGTCATCTGGTGCCAGTATCGCGGCGTGAATCGCCGTACTTTTGCCGTCTATTTCTCGAGAGTGTTTGATAATATCAATTTTAATCGGCAACTGAAAAACAAAAATACATCTGAAATGATTTTGAAGCTCAATATGTTCAATGATGACTTCAAAAAATATTGGCGCACTCACATTTAATAATAATGCACATACTGGTTTAAGGTTGCGTGACTCACAATGGAGTTGGAAATTGAGTATTTATAAAAAAAACTTATGAATGCTCGAATGCACATCGATATGTCGCGAGATAATTTAACTACAGAGTGCAAGATCTTAAAAACTTGTTTCGTATTTAAAACTTCAAGAGAATTGTGTATTTTCTATCTAAAACGCAGATGTACTAATACTTTTTTTTAGTATGAACTTTTTTTTTTTTAACTTGCTTCAATTACAATATTGAAAGTTCTTGAAAAAATACATTGTTTCCGTATATCATAAGACATTGATAGACATTATTTTTTTTATTAATAAATCACTTCACTATATAAAAATAATTTTTTTAAATGTGGGAATGCCAATACTCTTTGGATCCACCGTACATATCTCGAGCGCGTCAGTCAAATACCTTCACTCGAGAAAAATACGACTCGTCGATGACGGGCAAGAAACAGGTGTAACAAAAATATTTTCGCGACTTCGAACACAGTTTACAGTTTCTTCTACCCTCGATCGTGTCCAATACCGTGGCATCTCTGATTTTCAATTTTCGAAAAGGCGCTCTATCGATTGTCCTCTGTTTCCTTTCCAGTTCCAATAAACCGTCGGTATCATAACTCTTCAAAGCAACATTTGCCATAGTGTTCGTATACATCACAGCAATTAGTTAAATTTTTTCGGTTATATTGCACAAAAATGTTAATCACACAGAGCAACGACAAAAGGACGCTCTTGGCGCCGAAAGCGACAAGAGCCAGTTGTACATAATAAGTTCAGCTTTGCGTTCATAACAGAACCGTGCCGATATTCGAAATGTTTCTTTAACAAAAACTTCATCAAAAAAACTGTTTACACAAGACAAGAATATTAGGTTAGGACCGACGATATGTCACGAAGCAGAAAGAAGCCTGAGAGCGGCCAGGCCCATAAGAGAATGTGTAATCACTTTTTCGCCCCGTAACCCACCTACCGCAAATCCACGGGTGGTGCACATTGGAACTACGCAGCCATGTCCACGAGCGACATATCGCTTTTTGAATAACTAGCACAACACAGGCGCGCTGAGAAATGTCAGAAATAACGCATGAAAATCAAACTCAAAAAATAGTGAGAGAGAGAAGTGGAAATATATTATATGTAATATTCTCTCTATATCTATATATAATACACACACATACGCATATATGTATATATATATATATATATATATATACCGTAATCACGTGACCGAAGTCAGTAACACCGCCGCGGTCGCGCGGCTGAGGTCAGTGACTTCACCGCGGTCGCGTGACCGAGGTCAGTGACCCTCCCCTCACCAAGGCCGCGCGCCAGCGGTCAGTGACCTCCCCCCACCAAGGCCGCGCGGCCGAGGTCAGTGACCCCTAGATATCTAGTTTTGTAGGGTTATATATTTATAATATTTATGACATGTTTATAAAATAATTTTATAATATTTGACATTTTTATTCATACATTCTTATGGTTTATTTGAGACATCTAAAAAGAGTGCCCGAATTAATGCATGCCGGGGTCCAGGCATTATAATCCCGAATTGTCCGTTCGGGCTGAGACCGAGAGGACCACTCAGAATTCTGTTATTATTGCTACTGTATCTGTTGCTTGAATTTGTTGTTGTTGAGAGAACTACATTCTGTTATGTTGTTGAATGGCCATTGCAGTTATTGTTCCTAGGGTGCATTCCGATATTCACTGCCAGTACTGACAATGTGACGTCATAAAACAATGCTGTTTCTATGTTCCGCAATTACTTGTACTGTTTCTTCCATCGTATAACGAAACGATTTTATAGTATCTTTTGAAGTGTACAAACATAACCAAAAATCAATCAGTGAACACGTAAGAATGGACGCCGCCATCTTTCTACTGCGACTGCCTTACTTCTCCAACCGTAGTGATGAAAGCAGGAAGTGACGACAAAATCCGTGACGTCATATGCTCGCAAACGTGCTTCGACAGCTTACTGCTATGTATTTTGGAACGGTACTTGTGACGCTGCCAGTACTGGCAGTAAATATCGGAATGCACCCCTAGTTGATTCATACTCGGTGAGTGACTTCGGAAAGTAGGCGGTACTGCTCCAACTGGTTTTGATGTTTTTGGAATAACGATTTCGACGGTTAGGAGGTGCGCATGTCCTCAGTCCGAAATGCGCCTGTCGATTACAGTTGTTGCTGAGCTAGTAATTTTTGTTCTTCCCTTTTCTGACTTTTTTCTTCTAATAAAGCAATTATTATAACAATATGCATCCAAAACATATAGATTAAAGCATAAAATAGAACTCAAAATATTAATAAATAAAATACAACATAAATCAAAAGAAATTACATGTAAGCAATAATATAAGCAAAATAAAATAAAATAAAACGGTATGTTATTTATAAGAATTAATAAACTCTAACATGCGCGTATTTCACATTAGAAAACGACAAAAAAATAAAAAAAGAATAAGAAATATAAATTGTAAGATTTCAACAATTACATATAAGTAAAAAACATGTTTTTAAAGTATTTACCCAATACATTTTGTATTTTATAGATACATTCGGCCAAAAGTTGATAATATTCCGATCGCGTAGTAGCCATTTCGAACATAACGCACTCCATCTCTCTTGCGTACGCAACCAAGTTGCACATTATTTTGTCGAGTATAGGTTGTGGATTCGGAGCGTGGAACATTGAAAATGTTTGGGCCCTGAGAAAAAAGATTAAAAAGTCATTAATAACCGCGTCGTTATTAGACAAAAATTTTTAATGTATTGTGTCATCATAGGAAAAAAAACTCACAATTTTTGAACTAAGTGATTTCTGAGATCTGGAGTGACAGACTGATGCCACCCCTGTGGTCTTTTCACGGGTGCCGCTGTGACTTGACTCAGTTGAAGACCACTTGAAAGCTGCAAATTTGCTAATCTATTCTCTATTCCAATTAGTCTTTCTTCTGGATTCTTCTCCTTCTCTTCTCTTTTCTGTATTTCTTCCCGTTTCCTCTCAATTATTTCCTCTAACCAATCCTGAATCCTCCGTATCCTATCCTCCATTTCCATCCTTTACTTTCGCACTCTCGCCTCTGAAAGATAGTTAAATTTTTTTAAGTATAATAATAACGACTGTTTAACATACAAAGATGTTTTTCGGGTTTGAACCGCGTTAGTGTCATTCTTATACCAACGTTTCGTGAACCGTTTCAATTTCATCGGGGTTTAAAGAGCAACCTGAGTATCATCCTGATGAAGTGAGCTGAAATGTTCACGAAACGTCGGTATAAGAATGACACTAACGCGGTTCAAATCCGAAAAACATCTTTGTATATTAATACAACACACCGCGAAAGCATCGAATATCAGATAACGATTGTTTGTATATGTTTGAATATGTGTATTCGAGTTCGGCAATAAAGAACAGGTTAAGGATGGATTGTTGTAAATGAATGATGTATTGAGTCTTTTCTCAAGCAAGGCATATCAAATGCCATGTACGAAACTGTGTGATCGCTATACGTGGCGGACACGTGGACACGCCACCGACACACAACCGACGAGATTTCTCTGGGTGAACAAAGGAGATAGTTAATACCACACACGTGATTAACTGTATATTACCTTTATCAACTCGATATATTAGTTATAATAGATGTGTAATAGGTCTAATTACACCACGAACTTGATTCCCAGCTAACGGCTCATGTGCTCCGTTCACTTTCTTAATGGAGAGTGTCGTGCTCGCGTTTTGGACGGATGCAGA